TAAATTTACTATAAATTCATATAAGTGGATCACAACCCATATATTAAATTTACTATAGATCGGTACCAGTTCGATATCATTTTGGTACCGGTTCAGTACTTTTTGGAGCCCTAGATTAAACTAATTGAAAAAAAAAAAAATCATAAAATTATAATTTAAATATAAGTTAACTTTGATTTTTCAAAACTAAGGTTTTAATATTTGATTTTAAAAAGAAGCAACTCTATTATTTTCCATTATTATATTTAGAGAGTTGGAATTTAAAAATCTAAATAGTTAATATTATATAGTAATAATTTAATGAACCTATTTTCTTATAATAAAATAATTAGTAAATAGTATGGTAATCTTGGTATTAAGAATTTAAGAATTACATATAAATCCATAAATAACTTGTTGACAGGTGTTTTGCTATGAGAGAATAGTTTAGCTTTAGTATAATACTGTATCATATTGTATATTGTATTATTGTTGTTTACAAATAAATTAATAAACATAGGGCTAGCTGTTTAATTAAACTCATGTTCTTGTCAGTTGTGTAATGTCTTTACCTTTGGATAAAAACAGTAAGACCTTTGTGTATTTTATACTCTATTAGTCTAGAGTAATAGGTAAAACCTGCTTAATGTCTTTGTAAAATGTTTTGTTTTCGAAACACACAACCTTGCCCATTAAAGGATATTAGCACAAGGAGGTCTCGTGATCCGGAATTTTCACTAAAAAGCGATGCAAATCGCATTTCGGCGTATTTAGGTAACTTCAATAATGTTACTATAGGGCAATTCATTCGCGTGAAGACAAATAAATTTGACATATTTTTCCAGCTATGTTCGTGAGCCTGACATATGAGGTTTTTGGAAAAGTTCAAGGTAGACATAATATATTTTATTTAATATATAATTTTGTCTGAAACTTACTTTTTGATGTGAACAGGAGTTTTCTTCAGAAAATTCACAAGAGAGAAGGCTATTGAATTGAAGCTTGTGGGATGGGTTAAGAA